TGTGTGGTATTCATAGTATTTGTGTGGTATTCGTTGGTATGTTGCTAGCAGCTCGAAAAATGAAGATCTGTTTTAATGTCCGAGAGACTGCAAACAGAGAGTATAGTCTCAGTCATATGGAGGCAACAATGCCACTGAAGTTGACCACCGTGCTTCTAAACGAGCTTAAGGCCATCAAACGACAAAGAAGGAAACAATTATTAGATTAATAAGATTATATTGAATTTATTTGAGTTTTTAATTTGTTTAACTTATTTGAACGCCAGTATCTTCATGTTGCCAAGACACAGACCCGGCTGGGCTGTTAACAAAATGTTTTAAGTTGTTTTCCTTTTGGGACCAAGTACTGCTCCACAGGGTCGTGCCAAGGGGCGAAGGCGGCGAGGAGGTGTCCTCCTCCGATCATGCAAGAGTCATCCATCCGTTTTTCATTCATTGTTTTAAAACCTTTTATTCAATATTCACACATTTTCAAAAGGTAAACAAAACAACACAGCTGCCTGAGAAGTGTAACCGTACGGAATGCGGGTTTCACCTCTGGTCCCACTCTGCTGCTAGAAATATATATTGCACATTTTGCTAGCAAGTTTTTTTCGATCTGAGTACTAGGCTTATAGGTTGATTTGAAGAGAAGAAGAAAAGAAGAGAAGAGCCGAATGAACGTAATAGCTCCTGCTTCAGAGCACTACCTACCGTTTAGAGAAATTGACTTCAATTGCCGATTTCGCGTGAGCGATTATGTTCTGAAGAACATAGAAACAATAAAGTACCTAACCAAAAGGAAATTGAAGGGATGACGATAGTGAATAGGGTGAATAATAGGAAAATAATGTTTTTTTCGTTTAAGGTCTACGAAGAAAGGAAATAAATTATCTCCAATAAAGAAATAATATGGTTTTGATACCTTTTTTATTTATTTTTGTTATTTAATTGCTACAGCGAAATTGGTTGGTCGCAGACGATGAGTCTATAATTATCGATAATTTCGCGGTCACACTGACTCAGCTGCGCACAATTTTCTTGCGACGGAATCAAGGATGATATTTACAGTCTGAGTACTTAGATCGGCAGAAAATATACCAGAAACGCAGCCGGTTTAATACTACACATACCACAGCGAAAGAAACAATGTATATATATTTTGTCGACAGAGACAAAAAACAAGGAAGGCAGTAATAGCCTTAAATTAGGACGATTTAAAACTTATTAGTGCAGTCGAAAGAAAACTGATTGTATGGATATTAGAATTTAAGAATCTTATACTATTAATTTATTATTAAATAAATGTATTAATTTGTATATATTAATTCATTTATTATTAAACAAAACATATGTTTATGGCATTCCTGTCCCACCGAACTGACTTATCCAATAATGCGGTGCTTGCTCCATGCATGGTTGTCCTCCAACCTCAATATCCACTCTGAAAAATCACACTGTTCCTGCTTTCAAATAAACTATGAACTATTAACTGGTTTAATTTTGTAAACAAACAGACAACAGTATACTTAGAAAGCATACACTCTGTCCACTTTTGTCATACTGGGCACAGAGCGAAATAAATGGCACTCTCTGTCGCAAGAAAATATTACGCAACTGAGAACTGGGCTTTTGCTGGTAATATTAATTAGAATATTAAAACCGAGGAAAATTATTTAAGATTTCAGGTAAATTTTGAAATAAGATATTTTGGTATATTTTTCAGGGTCGTGCGGTATCCGTTATCGATAAATCCGCGGTCTTTTTTTGTTGTCTGCGGCGTTTGCTCGTGTTAACTTTAAAAAGATTTTTAACTAATTTCCGCTGGTGGCGTAATTATTTGGTGATTTTGAGTTCTTCGTGCACTGGGAATCAAACATGACGGATTCCTTGGAGTATAACGACATAAATGCCGAAGTCCGCGGTGTCCTGGTGAGTCGCAAGAAATGCAATAGTTTTTCGCACAATTCGTCTGATTTGTTTATCCCCTCACATGTCAGTCATCCGGACGTCTGAAGCTAACTGACCAGAATATTATATTCAAAAACACCAAGACGGGCAAGGTGGAGCAGATTTCGGTGGATGATATTGATCTAATTAATTCTCAAAAATTTGTGGGCACCTGGGGACTACGAGTGTTCACCAAAACCGGGGCGCTTCATCGCTTCACCGGCTTTCGGGACAGCGATCATGAGAAGTTGGCAAAATTCATAAAGGATTCGTATTCGCAGGAGATGGTGGAGAAGGAGATGTGTGTCAAAGGCTGGAACTGGGGCACGGCTCGATTCATGGGTTCCGTTCTGAGCTTCGATAAGGACTCGAAGACCATATTTGAAGTGCCGCTGTCCCATGTGTCTCAGTGTGTGACTGGCAAGAATGAGGTCACTTTGGAATACCATCAAAACGACGATGCTCCAGTTGGCCTCCTCGAGATGAGGTTTCACATTCCTGCCGTAGAGTCGTCGGATGATGACCCAGTGGAGAAATTCCATCAGAATGTGATGAGTAAGGCCTCGGTCATCTCAGCGTCTGGCGAGTCCATTGCCATCTTCAGAGAGATTCAGATACTAACACCACGCGGTCGCTACGATATCAAGATCTTTTCGACCTTCTTTCAGCTGCATGGCAAGACCTTTGACTATAAGATACCCATGGACTCGGTGCTACGCCTGTTCATGCTGCCACACAAGGACAGCCGGCAAATGTTTTTCGTGCTTTCACTGGATCCTCCAATTAAGCAAGGACAGACGCGGTATCATTATTTGGTGTTGCTCTTCGCACCTGACGAGGAGACCTCCATTGAACTGCCATTCTCGGAAGCTGAGCTGAGAGACAAATACGAGGGAAAACTGGAGAAGGAATTGTCGGGGCCAGTCTACGAGGTAATGGGTAAGGTGATGAAGGTGCTCATTGGGCGAAAGATTACCGGGCCAGGTAACTTCATAGGCCACTCGGGCACGGCAGCTGTGGGCTGTTCTTTCAAGGCTGCCGCTGGTTACTTGTATCCCCTTGAGCGTGGCTTCATCTACATTCACAAGCCGCCCCTGCACATCCGCTTTGAGGAGATTAGCTCGGTGAATTTCGCTCGTAGTGGCGGATCCACACGATCTTTTGACTTCGAAGTCACCCTGAAAAACGGAACCGTGCACATATTCTCGTCCATTGAGAAGGAAGAGTATGCCAAGCTATTTGACTTCATAACACAGAAAAAGTTGCATGTGAGCAATATGGGCAAGGACAAGAGTGGCTACAAAGATGTTGACTTTGGAGACTCGGATAATGAGAACGAGCCCGATGCTTACCTGGCCCGCCTCAAGGCCGAGGCTAGAGAAAAGGAGGATGATGATGATGACGGCGATGATTCCGATGAAGAGTCGACCGATGAGGACTTCAAACCGAATGAGAACGAATCGGATGTGGCCGAAGAGTATGACAGCAATGTGGAAGGTGATTCGGATGACAGTGATGCAAGTGGAGGCGGTGGAGATGGCGACCTTGACGGCTCGTCCATCAAGAAGCACAAGGAAAAAAAGAGCGAGAAAAGGGAAAAAAAACATAAGGAAAGGGAAAAAACGGTAGAAAAGAGAAAATCTTAATATTTCAACTGTATTAAACATTTTTGTACTTTCCAGATAAAACCAACCAAGAAGAAGGACACCGGAAAGCCCAAAAGGGGCACTTCTGCCTTTATGTTGTGGCTTAATGATACCCGTGAAAGCATTAAGCGCGAAAATCCGGGAATCAAAGTCACCGAGATAGCCAAAAAGGGCGGCGAAATGTGGAAAGAGCTGAAGGACAAGTCCAAATGGGAAGAGGCCGCTAACAAGGATAAGCTTCGCTATCAAGAAGAGATGCGCAACTACAAGTCCGGAGTGGGCGGCGGCAGTGAGGACGACAACGGCGGCACCATCAAGGAAACCAAGAAACGCAAATCAGAGCCATCGCCTACGAAGAAAGCAAATACCTCGGGCAGTGGCTTCAAGAGCAAGGAATACATCTCTGATGATGAATCCACCAGCGACGATCAAGAAAAGGGCAAAGAAATCCCAAAGAAGAGAGGCAAATCAGCAGCTGATGACAAGGATAAGAACTTGAAGAAAAGCGAAAGCGAAGGGGAGGATAGCGATGATGAAAGCAATGCCAGCGAAGAGAACGATGAGGAGGAAGATGAGGGCAGCGATTAGACTCCCAGCCATTCAACCCTATTCCATAATTCAGTCACGCCCAACCACCCAAACATAGTTGTTAAGTTCCGCCTAAAAATTATGTTTTTGTTTAATTAAAACTTCAAGAGCAGAATACAGCTCAAGTAATTATTTGATATGGTATTAATAATTGCCCATAATGATTCATTTTTGTCAGCTTTTTTTCTCGCATGAATTGGTTTTTGATGGCACATCACCTTCGTTTTTGATGACTGATTGGTTCAGTCATAAAGCGTTTTTCTTTGTCTGCGGTTATGGCCACATTGTGGTGCCACCTCTTCGTGTGGATTGGGCTTTGGCATATTATCCAGGCAAGTTAGGAGCCTTCCTCATATCTAGCTATGTTTCGAATTACGGTTCTGCTCTTCTCAGGTCTGTGGCATTGCCAAGTTCACCAATGTCCAGTGTTTTGGTGTTGATGAAATGTTCGCAAACTTTTCTCGGTGTCGTCTCTATGCCGTAAAAAGGGATGTGGTTGAGATGAGCCTGATCGCCAAGGTATTACATTGGCCCAAGCGTCGAGTTTCGGTGAGTTTGACTCAGTTGGCTTTTGATTCACATTGTGTATTCTGTGTTGATGAGTTTTTTGTTTCGGTTGAATGAGTACCGCACACTTTGGCAACGACGACTTGATCTGAAATAATTGCGTATAACGATTGAACGCTGTGCGGAAACAGACAATTCAAAGGTAGCCACAAGTGACCCCAATCGCGGTCATATACATATTTATATATGTATGTACATTCTATATGATTTCTGTGCTTGTACCCATTTAGTGTGCTCACTCTAGGTATATTTCTTGAATAGCGTTTGGTGTGATCTGATTACAATTTATTGTCTCGACGATTTAGGAATTGGCAGAAGGTGCGACCACTGCCTTCCTTTCGCGACTTGGCTAGGAGATTCTCTGTTTCATCGTTAACTTCATCCTTTTGAATTGGGAGTGCCATTGGAGGTCTACCTTCATTTTCATCCATTTTTTGTTCATTTTTCGCGTTAGAGAAACACAAGGATGAAGACCAACGCTTGCGATCGAAGCGATTAAGAAAGGTTCCGGATGATTCCGAAGGCAAGACCGTTTTCAGGTCCAGCTCGCAAGATGAGTTCTTAGGCGAGTGAGCCATCGCTATGTGGGTCATGGCGGCCGATAAAGCCAGTCTCTCAGCGTCTGTTTCGGCGTCAGGATGTATATTGGGGACAGATTCCTTGTCATTACAACAAGTATCAAACAGTTCGTATTCCTCTAAACCGTCTGCAACATTAGACTCTTGCCGCTTCTCAATGGAATCATGTTTCAGCAGTCGAAAGAAAATGGGAAGCACGGCGGCACGGCTTTGGATGATAAACTGCGTTCCCCAGCTGACGACGTCGTTTAGCATCTGCTGCTTGCCTCGTTGCAAGAAATGATCGATCTGCTTCTGACGCTTGAAAAGTAGTGGACCCAGGATTGAATTAAAAATCCACACATTGGCAGCTGGCGCCGTGAAAACAACACAAATTATCATAGCCATTTTGGTGATGGCATACAGTGGAACCCACGAGATAAGCATATCGACCAGCACCTCGATAGCTGCGAAGAAGGCATACACAATCCAATACTTGGCCCAGGCCGCGAGTTCCTTTTCCATCCCATTGGAGAGAGCCTTGAATGTGTGATAAGCCGGCAAAATGGTACCGCTGGTGTAAAAGAGAACACGCGCTACACAGCTGAAGAGACACATCTCACTTTGTTTTCGGTTTTTAAGAAAAGAATTAATTTTGAAAAATGATTTAATTCAAAATATTTTGAATAATTTTGAATTGTTCTTTGCTTTATATTTTTAGTTTTAACATCGACGTATCGTAATCAAATGAAAAGTGATTTAAATATATGTCTGTCTTGTGTAGACAGATCTGACATTACAAAGCCTCACTTGATACATGAACAAACATAAAACATATCAATATACTTTTTTTTCTATAGATGCGGATACAGTTGCTAAAGCGGGCCAGTGGCTATAAGCCATTCCTCTACAATATCTGCCAGTCGGACGTGTGCGAGTATCTGGAGAAGCGGAATCACCCCTTCGTGAACATAATTTTCAACAGTTTCACCAATCGAACCAATGTGAACCGGTGCCCCCTTCCTGTAAGTTATTAGAATCCAGATATATCCTTACAATATCCTCATTCTACTTAAAATCTTCTTCGAATTGCCTATCTGCAGCCGGAAATTATTTTGGAGCACTTTCGATTCCCGGTAAAGGCCTTGGAAATGCTGCCCTTGCCATCCGGGGACTATGCCCTCTTCATTACGTTCAGTTTTGACAGCCAGGAAAGGGCTCTGGTCAAGGTTTACTTTACACTGACGGAATATCGTTAAGGTGGAACAAAAATATGAGTTGGTTGCAGTGCATTAAGCCAATTTATAAATTATCGATCAATTCGTTTACATGCAGGAAAAAATGAATTTATTATTTGATTATCTCTTTGTGTTGGGAATAAAATGGTTTCAATTCAGATTATTTAAGTATTCGTCCCTTCGAATTTAGTTTATTGAAGTGTACGGATATATATTTATGGTTGTGGCGCCTGAAATTGATGTTATTATGCGGTAATTACTCATAAAAAAAAAGGTTTGTTTGGGTGTTTGAAGGCTTAAAGACATTTTCAAATCTTGGCTGAGCCTTGGCCCACAGTTGAACGCTCATGACATTTGGACCATGTATTCAAAAATACATCAGCAGTAGTTCCCATACAGATAAAAAACCATTCAGATAAAAAACAATTGAAATCAACTGCAAATTGTACGAGTATCTAACAAGCGATATGAAATGTTGACGGAAATAACACAATCATAGAGGAGGAGAAGCATTACGTATAGATTACAGTTACCAGCATTTTGCATGAATAATTAATTTTTGGGTCAATTGCAAAAACTTGAACCTCAACTCAAGTGGCTTCGGCTCTGAGGTGATCTTGCCTGAACCAAGTCATGTTCGACTGGGGTGTCATCTTTTTGGGATCTGTCATGTTCCAAACATTGCCTAGGAAGTGATTTTTTGTGTTATTTTGTTTTGGATTTGCATAAATGCCGCCAATTAATTTGATCATGCAAATTAATGACGAACAATTAGCAGTGCGAGACAAAGCCGCTTTATTAATTGAACGTTCTTATTATTGTTATTTTTTACAAGATATGTAAATGTAAATATTTATTTCGCACTCTGTGTTGCCGGTTTTCGGTGCTGGCAATGGCGATGAGCGCTTTATCGCTGATTAACCCAAATTTAAATGAGTCTAAGCCCGCACGTTCGATTCGGAGAAAATTCAGGCAAAAGGCTAAGGAACTTCGGTTGAAACTTAACGACGCTTTGGGAACGTGGGTGCAGTTAGCTGATTAAATTAGTTTGTAAGCTCGACCAAAATCTGGGTTTCGTCTCCTTAGGGCTAGAAGTAATTTTTGAATATTGCAAACAACTTCTGTCACAGAAGATAATCTTAAGCACTAACCAAATAGTATAGTATAGTATACTATTTGGTTAGTGTATTAAGCTAAGTACATGTGCACGTTTAAGGGTTAAAAAAAATGTCTTCTTGTTAGCATTTAATCAAAATCTTTAGTTTGAATGATTTTCCTGCAAATTAAAATAATTGCGTAAACAGAAAATTTGTATGCGCAATAAATTCAATAAAAACTGAGGGAACATTTTTGGAGAAGGATGCCTCAGTGCCAGGTCAGTCTCAAGCGCCGCTGAGCTCAACGATCGATAAATAAAACTGAAAGAAATCGGTTTTTGTTGATGATAAAGGTGGAAAGGTGACTGAGTACAGTTCTAATGGCAAGTTCGTTGGATATTCGATTCTGATTAAGATTAATAGTGTGCTAATTGCATTAAAATTGTTTCAGCAGCATTCCGCAAAGTGCAAATCAATGCCCAAGAGCCATCACACGAGACGTCTGCAGCAAGTTCGTTTCTTCAGTCTTTTGTTTGAGTGCGCATTTTGTAATCTCGACTTAATTAATCAGTCGATCATTGCAAGGGCAGGCTTATGGGATCCGAGTCCAGTAACACTCCAAGCCATGTAACAATCTGGACTGTTCTCTGCTTTCAACATATTTCTCAAACACAATTTTGTTATCCAATGTTTCATTACATGATAGGCCATTGGCCAACAAATCGCCCCGATCATCATCAGATTGGGGCACTGATTCAGATATCAATTAGCATTCGGCTGCGCGTCCTGCCAATGAACTTTTCTGATTTAATATTAATGGAAAGACTCACCCGATGGCAGCTGCTTCTGTAAAGTCCCAAAAATGAATCATGGTTTCTCTTGAACCCACTTAAATATATTTTCTCTCTATATATATATATTTTTTTTTTATATATATATCTATATATTTTAGAGCCTTTTCCTTAGCTTCCTCTACATCGGCAAAGCTATATAGCTCTTTAAATTGTATCCGAAAAATCAGTATAACTTACATAAGTGTAAAGTTGATTGTTTCACCAAAAACGGCACAAAGAAGCATCAACATCAACCCAGTCCTCCAATCTGCCCCGATTTCTCTGTGATTTTTCACTCAAAATTATTTCGAATGATTGCGCATGCAATTGAGAAACAACGAGAAGGGACGTGTGAGACGCTTTTTACGCGTCACAACTTTTATACCCGGCTCTCAGTACTACATCTGCACCTTAGCGGTTATTTGTCAAATTTTAAATTTTTTTTTCATCTGTCATCTACATCAACAACACTCAAACACCAACACGCTCCTTTAGCTCGCCGCCCTTCCCTAGACCCACACACTGCAGACTCGCGGCAGAGGCAGCGCCCGCACACAAAAAAAAACGAATATAAGGTGCGGGACGGGGTGGGTTAAAAGTCGGAAGAGGCATCGGCAGGGGGAGAGCAGAGGCAGGGGCCCAGTGAAGCAGAAGCAGAGTGTGAATGAGAGAATGTAAAATGAGCAACAAACTCTGCGGGACAGGGTGGGTTTAGCCACTGGAAATTAATTTCTCCATTGTGGCTATAATAATGATCCAATCGGATCCCAATTTGGTGATCTGATAGATATGGCCATTTCCTACGGAATGGCATTTTAAGTTTTCTTATATCTTCAAAACTGTAGATTTAAGAGGTTTTCGCTCTTTTGCGGAGGCGGAAGGGGGCGGGGCTAATTTTTGAAATACACTGGTTTCAGTGTAAGCATACAGCAGTCCGGAGCCAAAATTTGGTGGCTCTAGCTCGTATAGTCTCTGAGAACTAGCCGACAAACAAGACGGACAGACGGACAGACAGACATGGCTCTATCGACTCGGCTATTGATGCTGACCAAGAATATATATACTTTATGGGGTCGGAAACGCTTCCTTCTGTGAGTTACATACAACCGTTATTCACACAAATACAATATACCCTATTTACTCTTCGAATACCTGGTATAAAAAAATCAACTAATTCCTTGTCACTTCCTAGAGCTCTGCACTAAGAGCAATCAAATACTGCGGCCAACACTCAGCTCCGATGCGGAATGGTACTGGTTCGGATCGTGGTGAGTGCCTGGATCAGTGCCTGGGGCTTTCGCAAGACCAGGAGCCAAGTCAATCCATGTTTGTGTCTACCACTAAGACCGCTTTATGCATATTTATAGATTTCTTTGGCAAACTAACAAAGTCAAACTATAACTGAAAGGGGGCCGCTGTCAGATTTGGAATAGCAGAGAAACAGCGGCTCAGACCCAGTTTATGGGTCAGATTATAAGTATTAGTGGCAGCTTCATTTGGACCATTGGGACCAATATCCATTGGGAACTTAGTAGTCGATAGCCAGCTGTTTTCGACCTAACATAATGGTTATATCAATATAATCGATTTCGCCTGCAATTGATGTGTAGTTTGGAATGGCTGCCTCTGAAGTCCCGCTACACTTGCTCACTATTCATGCATGTATTTACTTTTATTCCCTCGATTTAGTTCACAAACCTGATTAGTTTCCTTAGTTGGCTCGACTAGGTTACATCATTAAAATTAACCTAAAGTTTTGTTTGACAATTTCGTAAAATTATACGTTGGCGGATTCGGATTTGTTTCCAAATCAAAATCCCAAAAATCCATCGCTGCGTGAAATGTTGAAAATATGAAGGGGGGGGGGGGGGGGGGAATTATGTTTGCCAAAAGCTGTATATCTTATGTGTATGACTTATGTGTGACTATGTTACAAATGGGGATACCTAGACAACCATAGGTTATTCATCCATCAACTAGTCCACCTCCACCATTTCTCCTCGAAAATCACCAGACCATATGACACACCCAACATCACATCACCTTCCTTCCTACCTCAGAAGAAAACCCGTTCCAGATTTAATAATTTGGAGACCAACAAACGGAAGGAGAACAATTGCTGAGAGCCAGAAAATGTCTCAAATAATATGTTTTTGCCCTGGAAATAAAGTCAAATGAAATATGTCAGGCTGTGAGAAAGTCGAGGTTGAGCCAATAAACAGCGTGAATTCAAAGTAATTATCCTGAATCCAAATGGAAATAATGGGTTCAATTGTCAAAACGAAAATTGATAAGCCTTTGGGGCTGGGGTGTTGATGGGAGCTGAATTCACAGCTCAGTAATATAACCAAATCTTGTCCCGCAATTTTTATACCAGCAGATCAGCAGAGATACTTACTTGTTCTGCTTGGGTTTTAAGACCTACAGAGAAACGGAGCCACTGGAGCAGCTCGTGTGCATGTGCCGTCAGACGTTGACTTTGAATAATCTCCATTGTTGTTATCGATGAAAGGATTAGTTCATTGCCGTTT